AATCAGCATCATTTTCAATATTTTGATAAGTTTAAAACAATGATTTTTCGATACTAATTTCAAATTCGATTTATATCAAAAAGAAAAATGCTCATCAATTAGAAAATAGTATCGTTTTGTGACGAAAGTATTCATTTATGAATTTAGTATCGGCTAATTTATATCAAGAACAAAAATACTCAACAAATATAAAATAGTATCGTTTTGTGACGAAAGTATTCATTTATAATAATAGTGTCGGCTAATTTATATCAAAAAGAAAAATACTCATTAATTATAAAATAGTATCGTTTTGTGACGAAATTATTCATTTATAATAATAGTGTCGGCTAATTTACATAAAAAACTCAATAATTAAAAAATAATATTGTTTTGTGACGAAAGTATTCATTTATGAATTTAGTATCGGCTAATTTATATCAAAAAGAAAAATACTCAACAATTATGAAATAGTATCGTTTTGTGACGAAAGTATTCATTTATAATAATAGTGTCGGCTAATTTATATCAAAAAGAAAAACACTCATTAATTATAAAATAGTATCGTTTTGTGACGAAATTATTCATTTATAATAATAGTGTCGGCTAATTTACATAAAAAACTCAATAATTAAAAAATAGTATTATTTTGTGACGAAAGTATTCATTTATGAATTCAGTATCGGCTAATTTATATCAAAAAGAAAAATACTCAACAATTATAAAATAGTATCATTTTGTGACGAAAGTATTCGTTTATAACAATAGTGTCGGCTAATTTATATAAAAAAGAAAAATACTCATTAATTATAAAATAGTATCGTTTTGTGACGAAAGTATTCATTTATGAATTCAGTATAGGCTAATTTATATCAAAGAAAAATACTCGTTAATTAAAAAATAGTATCATATTATAATTATTTTTTTTTAATTTCAATAATTATTATAACTGCTAATTTATTAACATCAAGTAATATTGATAAATAATAATATAAATTTAAATAAATAAAAGAGCAAAGGATAACATTAACATGAAAATGATATCCGTAATATGATTTAATGTAAAATATAAGCAAATAATAATAAAAATAAAATTAATAAATAATATAAATAAAATTTCTGAATAATAAAATAATACTAGAAAAATAATAAAATATAACAAAATAACAATAATAGAAATGGTAAGATAATAATAATAATAATAATAATAATAATTTACAAATTTATAAGATCATTTGGAATTTTTCGTCTTAGCCTTGTTGGGCGCGCTTCTGAGTATACTTTGTGTGCCAAGTAATTTGGGTGCTCGTCTATTCTTTTTTTGTAGTTGTTTGTTTTTTGTTTAATTTCTTCATTTACTGTCATTATATTGCTGTACTAGTGAATCAGCCAGTTGGGAACGTACCTAGGTGCGTTCAGTGCCTGCCTTATGAACTTGTTCTGCACTCGCTGAATAATCTGTAGATTGTTTTTTTTGGCGGTGCCCCATAGTTGAATCCCATAAGACCACACTGGTTTAAAAATACATTTATAAATAATTAGCTTGTTATTCGTTGATAGTTCGGAACGTTTATTAAGTAGCCAGTAATGTTTTTTGAATAGTTCATCAATCTGCTGTTTTTTCTTGTTAATGTGAACTCTCCAGTTCAATTTTGTGTCTAGGTGTATTCCGAGATATTTTACGCTATCTTTTACTGGGATTTCCTGTCCATTTAACTTAATTGTAGGGCATATACCAGTACGCAGCGTAAAAGTGATATGCGTAAATTTTGAGCCGTTTGCCATAATTCTCCATAAAGAAAGCCATTTTGTAGCAATATCTAGATGTTCTTGTAATAGTTGCGAAGCTATTGCGGGATCTTTATTGGAGGCAATGATACATGTATCGTCAGCAAATGTTGACACGCTTGTTCCGGAGTATAAAGGAAAATCCGCTGTGTATATAAGAAATAGAGTTGGAGAAAGAACGCTTTCCTGGGGCACCCCAGAAAGGATCTTTCTTTTGGTCGACTCCTCGTTGTTAATGCTGACGAAAAATTCCCTATTTTCAAGGAACGATTTTATTATTGAAAATATCGGTTCTGATAAACAGAGTTTTAGTTTGTACAACAAACCAGTGTGCCATACTTTTTCAAATGCTTGCGCAACGTCTAAAAATACAGCCGAACAATATTTTTTTGCATGGAACGATTCGTTAATTATATTTACTAGGCGATGTACCTGTTCTATGGTTGAGTGTTGTTCTCTAAAGCCATAATTAATATTATAAAAAATAGTATTGTATTATTTTATGAAGTTGCAAAAGTATCATTGTTTCGAATTATATTGTGATTTACTAGAAATATTTGACGATTAAAATTAATTACCTATCTACGAAAGTGATGACTTTCAATAAGAGTATTCAATGGTTTTATTAAACGACTTTAATTTAGAATTGAAAATATAGTTTTAATAGAAATACTTAATGATAATAAATTAGTATTTATTTTCAACAAAAGTATCAAATTTTTAATATAGAAACGAAAATATAATAATTTTAATAGAAATACTCAATGACTGTAAATTAGTATTTATTTTTTTATAAAAAAGTAGCAACTTTTAAATAAAATTACGCTATATTGTTTCGAAATAGTTATTGCACATTTTTTTTTATTCAAATTAATTACAAAAAATATACAATTATCAGAATAAAAACTAATAAAAAATTTTAACACCGCGTATAATATATAATATAATGAAGACTTACAAAACTAATAAATATTGAGAATAGATAGAGAAACAAAATAAAATTTAACATTACCATAATTACTTTTATTATCATTAAATACGCAATATAAAAATTAAATTTTATAATGTTGTAGGGTATGGTATCTTTCGAAGCATTCAACCTATATGTAAACTAGGCTTTTATTCAATCGCGTTAGTTATAATACTGATTATGAATGATATTCGAAACTAACAATAGGCATAAGAAATAATTGTGTTAAGAAATCTTTAAAATTATTTTACTATCATCCTATTACATATAATAGTTGTATGTGCACAGATGCACTGGACGCATTTGCATATTATGTTCTATGTAAAAATTGGAGATATGATCAATTGTTAATTGTACCTTCAGACACAGATAGGAAAAACCTATATAATCTTATATATTTTTATTATATTTAATAATAAAATGATTAAGAAATAATTAATTGATTTCAAAAGAATGAAAAAACAAAAATTAGTTGTAAGTTTAGATCGCGACGATATGATTGGCCGACGCCGCGGCATCCGCGAGGAACAATGAAATGACAAAGCTGCCGCCGCTACAATCGTAAGTCTTACTTATTTTAGAAATAAGATTATAAAGTAATATTTATTTTAGAAAAAAAGTTTCGGCTTTAAAAATTAGAATCATAAATGGAATGTCTTAATAAATTATTTAACCAAAGTTAGTTGCGTGACAATTTCGCAGATAACAAGATTTTTGCATACAATATACAAAATTTATTATCGTTGATAAACATATGTTCTCGGGGGTAACAGAAATTATATTATCGGCGTGCGTAATCTTAAACTCTAATTCTTTTATTTATTGTTAATCATTGGCTTCGACCTGGGGGCATTCATAAACATTTTCTTTAACAAAAATCATATCGCACTCGACATATCGCTTGTTTTGTTCGTTATCTATGAAGAGTGGTGCTGCCGCGACAAAAGAGAATGAGTGGTGTTCATAAAATGCGGTCGAACTTTTGGTGGGGTCAAAAAATATAACCGATACTTTTTGAGTAGAATCGGCGCAAAATATCGATACTTATTCAGGATCGATACTATCGTTTTAACACTAACTGTATTTGCTGCACTTGTTTGCTTTTGTCTTTTTTTGAAGAGCTATCGTCGTGACATCCAGAAAGTCCTTTGGCCATTCGCCCGTTCGGTATATTTGGTTCAACAATTTGGTCAGTTTCCTTAATCCGTTGTTGCCCAGCTCTTTCAGTAGATCCGCCGGTGTCGTCATATTCCGTTGCTTTTTTTCTTCTCATGTTCTTTATTGCTCTCGGTCTTTTGTCGTTTTCGTCCACTTTTTTTCTATTTCGATTTTCTGTATAGTATAATTTTCCATACGTTGAGTATTTCCATTATCGTATGAACCTTGTCATTATCTATATATAAAAATATAATAATATTGTAGTATTAAAATAACGGTTTTATTACACCCCTGGCGCATTGCAGCTGGTTGTGTAACCCTAACGGATAATCGAAAAGCATTATTATTAGTGTAGTCGTCGAGTTCTGGGTTGTGAACACCGAAAACAACTCGTGAACTATTATTAAATATTAATAAACAAGAAGTGTGTTGTCAATACCCAAGAATCAAGTCGTCACACACCAACCAAATACAATTCAGGATACAAACATTTTATTCAAGTCTACACTCGACTAAAAACATGTTGTTTTCGTCATTTCTGGAAACGAATTTACATATTTTTGAAATATGAATGTGGTTGGAATGAAGAGTGATATCTTAGATAAGGAAATGAGTGATATCATGTGTTTGATTGATTAACTGATTTCAAATTTTCTGTAAAAAATGTAATGTGATAAGAAAAATTTTATACAATCGTATTGATGAGTGGGCGCCGCCCACCCAGCCTACTCGGTTTCGACGCCGCCGCCCGGCACGGTAATCGCAAGTATTACAAAATATTTGTTTGTACGAAACTATAAAACACAAAATTATTTTCATTTGTACACTGCGGGAAAATAGTCGCGAACGCAACGCCAGCTTGTATAACTTTGGCTCAACATTTTTGAATCTAAATCGTAAGTAAAGGGTTAATTTATAATAGTATATTTTTCCTAGACTCTTATAATTGCTTTTACAGTAGGTAACTAAGTTTTTATAGATGTTTTACTAACTTAATATAAATGTAAATAACAAAATACCTAAGAAAAACAGTTACTCTTGTCAGACATATCAGGAATTATGGGTTAAACAACTTTGTTTCAACAAGAAATATTATTTTTTCTAGGTACCTTTTTGCGCAAGTTCGACTTCTAAAGGAGCAGCTATTTTTCCTTCTAATTCACAAATTGATTGTAATTCTGCAGTCGGTTACTTAGCAGTTTACAGAATTAGTTTTGCATTATGTTGTTTCTTCATATTAATGTCCGGGATTATGTTGGGTGTAAAATCATCTAAAGATCCGCGGGCTTCTATCCAAAACGGGTAGGTCTTTTATTATAAAATGTTTCTCAATAAATTATTTTTCAAATAATTCTTAAAATAATTTCAGATTTTGGGGATTAAAGTTTTTGATTGTAATAGGAATGATTATTGGTGCATTTTTTATTCCTGAAGGAAGCTTTAGTACTACTTGGATGTGGATAGGACTCTTCGGGGGCTTGATGTTTATTCTAGTTCAGTTGGTTTTAATAATTGATTTTGCTCATAATTGGGCTGAAATCTGGTTTGAAAACTATCAAGAAACTGGTTCAAAAGGTTGGTTTGCTGCTCTCTTGCTCTCTACTCTTTTGCAGTATGCCCTAGCAATTACAGGACTGTCCTTATTATATGTTTATTTCACACTGGTAATTTTTTATCTATATAGGAATCGTGCTCTTACAGATCATTGGACTTAATTCTTACATTATTTTCTTTCATTTTAGCCAGATGATTGTGCATTGAATAAGTTCTTTATTTCCATAAATCTCATATTATCTGTAGGAGTCAGTGTATTATCAATTATGCCCGCAGTACAAGAGAAACAGACAAGATCTGGTCTTTTACAATCTGCTATGGTAACCCTTTACACAGTATACTTGACCTGGTCTGCAGTTGCAAATAATCCAGATGAAAAATGTAACCCTGGATTTTTGGGAATTGTAGGAGAAGGCAGTCATAACAAGGTTTTAGATTATAAGTGTAAATATTTGAATGCAAATTAACGAACTTATCTTTTTAATTTCTTAGGTTTCTTTTGATACACAAAGTATTGTAGGGTTAACTGTTTGGATGTGTTGCGTCATGTATTCTTCTCTCAGATCAGCTTCCAAGGTTGCTTCAATGACAATGACGAATTCCTCAGACAAGGAAGGTAAATTTAATGTTTCTTTATTAAATTATCCCATTATGTCATCTTAAGAATCATAATATATATCTTACAAAGCTTTAACAGATGGTGGGGAATCTGGAAAAATCTCAAATACTAGCAATAATGATAATGTTAAAGTTTGGGATAATGAAGAAGAGAGTGTTGCATATTCCTGGTCTAGTTTCCATTTCATATTTACTTTAGCTACATTATATGTCATGATGACGTTAACCAATTGGTACCAGTAAGTATTTCAAATCATAATTAATGGTTGAAATCATGGCAATTTAAATAACATATTTTAACTTCTAATTTTAGGCCAAATAGCTCATTAGAAACATTAAATGCAAACGCAGCTTCAATGTGGGTGAAGATAGTCTCAAGCTGGCTTTGCTTAGGCATTTATTTCTGGACTTTAATAGCACCATTTATCCTAACAAACCGCGATTTTTCCTAAATTTATTTTGATAAATATTGGGAAGTAAGTTTAAAATTAATCAATAACTATTTATTCTTTAAGAGTATCTAAAAAATTGGCTTTGTGAATAATATTTTTTATTATATGTAACATTTAGAACTTGGTTTTTAATAATGGCGTTATCAAAACCATTGATAGTTTTCAACACTGATTTATAGTCATTGATTGATTTAGGCATTAGTATATATAATATAAAAACAGCTTCTAATAATACTGAATATAAGAATATTATTTTTTCTTCCTAGAATAATAGATTATATTTGTTTTATATGAAGTTCAGATAATTATAACGAATCTATTTTTTTTTTTTGTCCATGATGATATATAATTTAGGTTGCTATTTGTTTAGATACTAAGTTTATATATAGTTCAGTCATTTAATAGTTTTACCTTAAGAGTTTTGCGGATGTTTTGCAAATTGGTGATTTTATAGATTTTGATGTGATCTTTACGAATTTCAACTTTGCCACCTCGAATTTTTGCCGCTGTCGCCGCTATATTGGAAAAATTGCGTCAAAAATCAGTTTTTCAACGATATCTCCTTTCTGACTTATGTTACGTTAAAACAACTATATACAAAATTAAACTAGACAAAATTTTCTATGATTTATTCAATAACGTTTTTTTCTGTAACATCAACAGTTTTAGCGTACGTGCGCCGCAAAGTTTCTGCTGCTCGCGCCATCATCGGATATTCGGCCGCTCTTTGCACTTGAACGCATTTTCTCTAATAAATAAATAATTTCAATGTTGAATTAAGCTTTCCTGCTCAGGTCTGGCCTAGAAATAACACAAATTAATTATTTTTGTTTTTCATTTTTATTTTTGCTGATAATTGAACATTTTAAATCATTGGATGTGTAATTTAATGCAAATTTTAAATTGTTTGTAAGAATAGTTTTATATTAAATTAAACTAGATTTTTTTATAATTTACTTAATTAACTTTTTACCTCCAGTTTGATGTTCTCAATGGGTCATATGTTATTAGCTAATCGTCTTCAGAGACAATCGAAATGTCAGAGGTTGCACTTTCTTCGATATTATCCGCGATGGGATTATCGTCATTGCAAAGTTGTTCGAAAATACTATCTGCGTCTTCCTCTTGATCACTATCTTGTGATGGAACTTGTGCATTACTACAGGTTCCACTACAATTTGTGCAGATAATGGAGCACTTCAATCCTGCCTTTCTGCATCCACAGGCTTTCTGACATCCCTTTTTGCATTTGCAAGAAATCAGTTTCAACAAGGTGTCCGGAGCTGGAGGCTCGAGTGAGGTCACAAGGAATCAGGCCATTTTTGCTTCTTTACCATCCCCATTGTTCTGCATTCACCTCATTCCCATACCACTGCTGAGTTTGGTGATATGTTATGGTATTCTCATCACTACAACCGTAAAATTTACGAAGGAAGCGTTCTCCAGCCGTGGCAATGATCTCTGGATCAGCTTTTTGATTTTTAAATATATAAATAACTTCATTTAGATATTGATGTTTACATAGTGTATTTATATATTTTATTTTACCTTGATTAAAAATTGCTGAAGTTGTATCGCAGCCACTGAAGGCGTGCAAAAACAATATATGATCTGCGGCTGTTTTATCTATTAGGCTACTTGTAGAATATAATTGTTGCAAAATTTTTCCTCTTCCCGGTTTTAGTAAATATATAGTAAAAATCAATATCTAAACGAAGTTATTTATATATTTAAAAATCAAAAAGCTGATCCAGAGATCAATTGCCACAGCTGGAGAACGCTTCCTTCGTAAATTTTACGATTGTGGTGATGAGAATACCATAACAAATAAATCTTTAAACATCTTTAGATATGCGTGCTTTACAAAATCGGCATACAAAATTAAATTTAATATTGCATCACTACCAGCAACGCAGGCAGCAGCACGACAGCATTCATTCCGAACATATCACCAAATTCAGCAGTGGTATGGGAATGAGGTGAATGCAGAACAATGGGGATGGAAAAGAAGCAAAAATGGCCTGATTCCTGTGACCTCACTTGAGCCTCCAGCTTCGGACACCTTGTTGAAACTGATTTCTTGCAAATGCAAAAAGGGATGTCAGAAAGCCTGTGGGTGCAGAAAGGCAGGATTGAAGTGCTCCATTATCTGCACAAATTGTAGTGGAACCTGTAGTAATGCACAAGTTCCATCATAAGATAGTGATCAAGAGGAAGACGCAGATAGTATTTTCGAACAACTTTGCAATGACGATAATCCCATCGCGGATAATATCGAAGAAAGTGCAACCTCTGACATTTCGATTGTCTCTGAAGACGATTAGCTAATAACATATGACCCATCGAGAACATCAAACTGGAGGTAAAAAGTTAATTAAGTAAATTATAAAAAAATCTAGTTTAATTTAATATAAAACTATTATTACAAACAATTTAAAATTTGCATTAAATTACACATCCAATAATTTAAAATGTTCAATTATCAGCAAAACTAAAAATAAAAAACAAAAATAATTAATTTGTGTTATTTCTAGGCCAGACCTGAACAGAAAAGCTTAATTCAACATTGAAATTATTTATTTATTAGAGAGAATGCGTTCAAGTGCAAAGAGCGGCCGAATATCCGATGATGGCGCGAGCAGCAGAAACTTTGCGGAGCACGTACGCTAAAACTATTGATGTTACAGAAAAAAACGTTATTGAATAAATCATAGAAAATTTTGTCTAGTTTAATTTTGTATATAGTTGTTTTAACGTAACATAAGTCAGAAAGGAGATATCGTTGAAAAACTGATTTTTGACGCAATTTTTCCAATATAGCGGCGGCAACGGCAAAAATTCGAGGTGGCAAAGTTGAAATTCGTAAAGATCACATCAAAATCTATAAAATCACCAATTTTCAAAACATCCGCAAAACTCTTAAGGCAACAGCATTTTTTTGCACCACATGACTGGGCTAATAGTATAATTTATAATCTGTGATTACGAAAATATAAAATAAAATACTTATGATAAAAATCACTTAAAGAATATTGAATTTCATTAGGAATGTATTCTAATTATTCACTTCTGTTGTAATCTTATATTAAATATAATTTTTAATGAGATATTGTAAAATTAATTCTAAAGATGTTCATGATTTTTAGTCAGTTAGATTTTAATAATTAAATTATATGAATGAAATATTGTCTTTTGACGACTTAAGAAAGTAATGTTAAGGTATATGTGCACTATTCCGGGATAGTACATTTTTACGGGAGTTTTTCATTTTGATCGCAAAATAAGGCAACGGTCGGTGAATAATAATTTTATATAATAGCACATCAATTATAATGTGAATCCTAACAAAATAGCACGATTTTTGAATTTAAATATTAGTTTTTAAAGTTGCAAAAAGCAATTGATCGCATCGGTCCTGACCCGATCGCTATTTCATACTGGCTTGTTAGCGAGTTAGGTTATGCGACGGTTGCATTGCTGAAGGTTTTTATTCGATTCCGATAAGCCTAATCTTTTCAAATTTGTGAAATTAGTTTTATAGATAAATCGAGCATATATTTGTCAAGAAATTGTCAATTTCATGACTCCCATAATTAGGTTCACACAACTGAGTCAGTGAACGTAATTCTGCGAGTTACGAAAAGTAGACTTGAAATATTTTTGTATTTTATTTTCAACTGTGCTTAAATACGGTGGTGTTTCTGGTGGTAATAAGATTGGTAATGACTATAGTCATTGTGGTACTACAAAGAGTATACCCTTTGTAGTACCACAAAGACTATATTTTATTGAAATAAATAGACATTATAAAATAATAAGGTTATATGTATTAATATTCCAATTCAAAATCACAATTTTACAAAAATTACAATATTGTTACTATTTATGTTACAATAATTTTGATAAATTATTTTTGAAATTAAGTTAGTGATAATATTAATTACATGTAATTAATAATTGAACAAATTTAACATGAAATATAATTAATAACAAAAATCACAGAAAAGAATTATCTAAATGTATTTAAAATAGTTTATCTGCCTTTTTTTGTATAGCGTGCACACATTTCATCAATGTTAAAGTTTTATTATTTGTTACTCTTCCCAATATTTCAAATTCAATATAATGATAATTAATAGTAGTTTGACCGAAAACAGGTCCATCGTATGAGAGCACCACAAATTAATGATTTCCTTTTGCTCCTCTGTTTATTATTTTCATTACAGTTTTATTAACACTGATCATTTTTCATTCACTTTTATGAATTGTCCTTTCAAAATTTCTGCTTCTATGCTTTCAGGTCTTGTGCTTCTATTCATTATATTTTAATTAAGCATCTGTCATCAACAAATTCTCAAAAAGTGGGGTTAGAATTCGACTTGACGTAATTGTTTCCCCGCCGTATGGATATATCCATAGATAAACAAGTATAATAGATCGCTATGTCTGGCGGTTTGACGTTACCATAGATAAACAAGTATAATAGATCGCTATGTCTGGCGGTTTGACGTTACCTCGATTGAAATACAATTTTTTAAAAATAGATGGCAGCACATGTATAATATTTTAATTACCCCTGGTTTTACTTCTTAATTTGTACGTATCGTATACAGCCCCAAAAACCTGAATAATTTTTAATATTGGAAATAAGAACAAATCATACGAAATACAAAATATATATTTTGAAAGATATTACATATGTTTAAAGAATAATTAAAATTATGTTTATATTAACAATTATAATTACAGTTATGGAATGTTTGCAAATATAATAATTATTATACATAATTATAAAAGTATTATAATTCCACAACTATGCTTAAATAATATTTCAAAAACTAAATATCTAAGTGAAGAAAATCACAGAAGTATTTAACTAAACTAAGCACAAATAACTGACTAATATTAATTACTTAATGACTAATATTAATATATTAAAATCTTAAAAACTAAGAAGAAACTACAAGCACAGAAGCACGCAATGAAATTACAAATTTAGAAGGAATGACAAATAATACAAAAATTTAAAGGGTTAAGAAAAAAACAAATAATTTGTTAAAAAGTACAAATACTTCACAAACAAAAAAGTCCTAAAAACATAAAATATATATATTGATATCAAAAT